CAGCTGAGGGGACAGAGGAAGACAGACCCTCTCCCTCCAGACTGAGAAGAACAGGGGGCTCATAACCCACCCCACCGGCCCCTCTGAGCCTCTCCCTCCCCAGCTGGCCAGCCCTCCAGGCCCGACCCCTCCGCTAACTCTCTGGGCATCTTTGAGACATTTTTGTCCTTTCTGGGACTCAGAACATTTAGAAAATGAGGGAGTTGAATCAGAAGAACTCGAAAGTCCATTTTGAGGAGTGGGTGCTGAAGTTTGGATGCTTTAAATTTCTGTATCTTTTCTGGGAGAGTTAAACTCCCAGCATGTCAGACTGGGCCGCCTCGGGTTCCTGGCCACCTGCCTCCCTCTGTTCTTGCCTTTCTCCGTACTTTCTCGCTCCCTCCAGTCTCTCTTTTCTCTCTTATGGCTGAGGTGTTTTGAGCACTTAGCATTTGCTATGCACTGTTTAAGCATTTTACATATTCCATCCTGTGGAATCCTTAAAACATCCTTGTGAAGTAAATACTATTCTTATCCCATTTTCCAGACAAGGAAACTGAGGTTCGGAGAGTTACGTCACTGACCCACAGCTGGTCAGTGGGAGCACCATAGGAGGCACTGACACCATTCCCCAGATGGGCAGTTCATTCTGGCCTGAATTCACCTAATTCAAAACGGCGGGTGCCTGTTCTCACCTCCTCCCTCCTGTTTTCCCCAAATGGGCTCTGACTCCCACCCCAGAGACGCCCCTGCTGGGCGCATCACCAGGGCCGTCAGGGAGGAGGGTTTGGCTGTTGGTGGGCAGAGGATCACTCCTCGGTTCCAGTTTCTGACTTGTATCTCAGGTATCAGGCCTCTACCTTCCACCTCCTTCCTCTCCTTTCTCTTCAGATGTCCAAGAGCTGGAAGGTCCCCTAAAGGATTACCCAGAACAGGCCTCTGCATTCAATCACTTATTCATTCACTGAACAAGTACATTTCGAGTCCTCCTACCTGCCAGGCAGTGTTAGGCCCTGGGGAGACAGCTATGTACAGGGCAGACAAGCTCCCTGTCCTCAAGAGCTTACATTCTGGTGGAGGAGACAGACAATAACAAAAGATGATGATGAGTGCAATGGAGAACATGAAAGAGGTGCTGTGACACACAGTGACCGCAGCAGGGGCGAGGTCCTCTACAGAGTAGGTGGGCAGGCGGCAGTGCACTCCTGGCAGAGAGAACAGCTAGTGCAAAGACCCAAAGGCAGGAACCAGCAGGTGTGAGGAAGGAGCACAAAGCCCTGCATGGCTGGAGAGGATGAGCAAGGGGCCCAGGGCAAGGGGGCTGGGCAGCGCCAGCCATGCAGACCTTGGGCCAGGACGAGGGGTCGCATTCTGTTCTGTGTGTGATGTGAAGCCTCTGGGGACTTTAAGCAGGGGGTGATTATGTTTGTAAAGGACTCTTGGGCCACTGCGAGGAGAGTGGATGTAAGGGGAGCCAGGCGTGCGGGAGGGAGAAATGAGGGTGGCTTGGACTAGGGGGGGGTCAATGCGATAGAGAGACAAGGTCAGATTCAGAGTCTATTACAGTGGAGCCAACAGGATGCTGATGGATGAGATGTGGGCCGGGGCGGGGTGGGGGGGTGAGGGATGCCCCCTGGGGTTTTTCGCCTGGGCAGCTGAGTGAATGGAGGTGTCATCTACTCAAATGGAAAAGCCTGGAGAAGGAACCCGGATGGAAAGAAGCAATGTTTCCACTTAACCTTCATGGCAGACCCTGCTAGCTGGCTTCCCAGTATCTATTCTCTCTCCTTCTTTTTCATAATAGAAGGCCGAAAGGTTTTTTTTTTTTCCTTCAAGCATTGACCTGTCTGTCCCCTCCTTCTGCCTTTTGCCCTTTTCCCATCCTCCTTTCTCCGGCCTGGAATGGAGACAGGATACTAGAGATACAGCAGCCATCTTGTGACAACTAGGGTAGAGGCCACTGGATAAGATAGCTGGAGCGGGGAGATAGATGGCGCCTGAGCCCTTGATACTATCACTGAGCTGGCATAGCAGTCTTTGACTGCCTTTCCCCCGGGTTCTTGTTGTGGGAGGCAAATTAATCCTTTTATTTGTTTAAGCCACTGTTTTGTGGCTTTTCATTGCTTGCTGCGGAATGCAGTTGTTGCTAACAGAGTCATGTTGAGTTTGAGATTTTGGAAGAGAAACCAGAATTCAGTCATTCATTCAAGAAATATGTATTGAGGACCTACTATGCGCCAGGCACTGCTGAGAATTCAGCAGTGGATCAAACAGGTAAAAATGCCTGCCCTTGAGGAGTTTATACTCTGGAGTAACCTAGAAGCCGGACCTGACTTCTGGGCTATGCATTCTCATTTGATCCAAAGGTGGTAAGATTTGAACTATAAAGAGGGGACAGGGGTAAAATGTGGCCTGTCTATTCTCACAGGCTTCCTCATCCACCCATTATGTTAGCAAATTGAAAATCAACATATTGGGGTCCACCCCGGTGGCGCAGTGGTTAAGTGCACACGTTCTACTTCAGCGACCCGGGGTTCGCCGGTTTGGATCCCAGGTGTGGACATGCCATCACTTGGCACGCCATGCTGTGGTAGGCGTCCCACACATGGAGTAGAGGAAGCTGGGCACGGATGTTAGCTCAGGGCCAGTCTTCTTCAGCAAAAAGAGGAGGGTTGGTGGCAGATGTTAGCTCAGGGCTAATCTTCCCCAAAAACAAATTAAAAAATAAATTTAAAAAAATCAACATACTTCTCTGGTGTTTTCTATAAGCCAAACACTAGGCTGCATTCTCTCTCTGTGAGGGAGGTGTTATTATTACCAAGCCCATTTTGCAGGAAGGTAAGCAAGCCGCCTCTGTCACACAACTAAGTGGCTGTGCTGAGATTTGAACCCGGGGCTTTCTGACTCCAGAAACTCCACTGCACTCACTGACCCCCTGGGCCACCTCTTGGCCCCCTTTTCCTGCAATCCTTTTGATCGCTGTTTGACAAACCATTTCCTGCTTCCCCTTTCTCCTTGCTTTGGACAGGTACTATGTCTCTTATTCATCTGTATATTCCGGGCACCTAACAAGGGCCTGGCACCCTTCATCCATTCATCCCACTTTTCAAAAAATGTTCTCTGTGCCAATTGCTAGGAATACAGGACAAGTCACAGAACAGCACACCCAGCCTAGGAGGGGGACAGGCAATTAACAGGCGTCACAGTGTGGTGGGTGCTGGTAGGTATCACAGGGGCCAAGAGAAGCACAGAAAAGGGCAACCAAGTCAGACTGAGGTGGTGGGGACCAGTCAACCAGTCGTGGAGGAGTCAGCATCTGAGCTGAGTCCCAAAGGAGAAACAGGAGTAGAGCAGGTGAAAAAGCAGCCGTGGGTGTTTCAGGTGGAGGGAGCAGCACGTGGAGGAATGAGAGAGGCAAGACAGCAGCCTGTGGGAGCGACTGGACTATGACATGGGGGGAGTAGGGAGGCATGAGGCTGGGGGAGGATCTCAAGGCCTTCGGCCAGGGCTAGCAGTTTGGACTTGATTTGGTAGGCACTGGGGAGCCGCCAATGGGCGCTGAGCAGTGTGGACCCTGGTCAGATTTGCCTGGGCATTCTACAAATACTTGATGGAATGAATGAATGAAAGAAGAAATGGTAACTATGGGGTCCCATGCATGTGTCCTGCGGAGAGGAGGGGGCGGTTAATGATCTGGCAGTGGAAGGACAAGGCAGGCAGACTCCCGGACACGAGCCAACCACTTCCCTCAGCTCCTCCTCCCTGGGCCTGTGACTCCCCTGCCTGGACCACTAGTCACTTGCTGGGATCTTTACGGGAGCCTCTGCACTAGTCCCCCTCTTTCTGCCCTGGCCCCTACAGTGTGTTCTCTAACACAGTCCCGGTGACCCTCTGAAGTCGGGTTCTCCACCCCAGCGCTCTGCCCAACCCCTTTGCCACCTCAGCTACATCAAAATGGAAGAAGAAATTGCTGCTCTCGGCGTTTACAATGGCTCTGGCATGTGCAAAGTTGGCTTTAGCGGAATGATGCCCCCAGAGCATCATGGGAAATGTGGGACAGGACAGATACATGGGTGATGAGCTCAGAGCAAGAGCGACGTTCTGAGCCTGAAGCGCCTCATTGAACTGGGCTGACATGGAGAAAGACCTGGCATCACACCCTCTACCCCCAGCTTCCTGTTGCCCCAAGGAACACCCTCTTCTCTTTACCAAAGTTCCACTGACCCCCAAGAGCAATAGGGAGAGGACGGCCCAGCTCAACACCCTCCAGGCGTGCTGCTGCCCGGGTCGGGCCCTCCTCCAGGTGGTTGTGGACTCTGGAGTAGTGTTGCCCTCACAGTGCCTATCAGTGAGGGTGACACCCTGCCCTCAGTGAGGGTGACACCCTCCCCTACGCTGGCCTCTGGACTTGACTGACCGTGACTTGGGAGATGACCTCCTGGAGGAGAGCCTGACGGAAAGAGGTTACAGCCTCGCTACCACAGCTGAGAGGGACTGGTGTGTGACGCGGAGGGAAAGCTCTGCTGCATCACCCTGGACCTGGAGCAGGAGATGGCCCCCGCTGTGTCCTCCGCTTCCTCCCCGGAGAAGGGCTGTGAGCTTCTGATGGTCAGGAGGTCGTCCTTGGCCATGAGAGGTCCAGATGTCCAGAGCGTCTCCTCCAGCCCTCGTTCCTGGGCTTGGCGTCCTGTGACATTCATGAAACCACTTTTAACTCGGTTCTGAAGTGTGCTATTGACCTCTGAAAGGATCTGTGTGCCCACACAGCATTGCAGGGGGGCCAACAGAACGCAGGGAGAAATCACGGCCAATGAAGAGAGTTTCTCCTTAGGCACTAAAAATCCGGAGCGGTGGCTTCCTTGCAGGCTGCTCTCTCCGCCTTCCAGCAGATGTGGATCAGCAAGCAGCAGGGGGACGGGTCAGGCCCTCTGACTGTCCGCTACAAATGCCTCCAATGATGCAACTGCAGAATGTCTGTTGCATGAGTTCATTCACAAGTATAACTTTATCCTGGCAAAATATATACGCTTACGCTGGCCTCCTGAAACTGGAGCAGCTTTTGAGAAGAAATCTGCCCAATACTGAAATGAACACCATCCTCGGGTTGTAAAATAAGTAAGTAAATAAATAAATAAAATGTAGTCAGATCCTCTCCCCTCTCTGCTCAGAAATGTCCTGTGGACTCCCCACGGCACTAAGCCTAAAATCCAAAGTCCTTACCCTGGGAAGGCGCTGCAGGAAACTCTCTGATCTCATCACCTTCTCCTCTGCCCGCTGCGTCCTCAACATGACAGCCATGGCCCTGCTTCAGGACTTTTGTACTTGCTGTTCCCCCTGACAAGCACACAAACGTCACCTCGCCCGCAGCAAGGCCTTCCCTGATCACCCTCTCTAAAACCCACCTGCCTGCCCCAGCATCACGCCCTTTTCCTTACGACGCCTCAGTTTATCTGCAGTACTCATGTGTGTTCTCTTCCCCCCTTTAGGAGAGATGCTTCCGGAGGCCGGAGACTGAGCCTGTCCTGTTCTGTCCTGCGTCCCTGGCACCTGGAATAGGGCCCAGCACACAGTAGGTGAGGTGCCCCATAAATACTTCTTGAAGGAGGACGCCTGGCCCCCTGATGAACCCTGTGTGGCCTGTAACCAGGAGTCACCCTCCACCCCAATGCCACGATCTCTGTCTGCAGCTCCACTGTGTCTCCCACTAGTTGTCAGGGGGAGAGCGGAAATTTCCACTTGAAGCTGGAAGGATAGCCACATTCCCTGGGCTGGACTAGAGGGCCTAAGAGGACATTTCCATGACCCGTGTCTGGCAGCATGATGGAGTGGCCGGGGAGCCAGGGAGGGGCGAGGGGTGCTCGTGAGCCTCTGTGCCTGCCCCCTGCCCAGACTGGAGTGCAGGGTCTGTTTGCAGATCTGCAGATCGGAAACTCCATGCGGGCTTATCTCACACTAGGAGGTCCAGCCTGGGGTGTCCTCCAACCCTGGAGCCGGAAGGATCTTTAGCCATCATCAAATTCAATCCTCTCCTTTTCCAGATGGAGAAACTGAGGCCCAGAGAGGGGAAGCGATGTGTCTCAGGTCACAGAAAAAGCTAGCGACAGACAATGGACTCAAACCCACGGCACCGTCTGGGCTTTTGCCTCTCTTCTCGGCCCGTCCTTCTGTCCCGCCCACCCTTCCCTCCCACGGGCCTGCAGCCAATCTTTCCCAAGTGCCACTTTGGGCCAGCCTGGTGCCCTGGGCCCTGGGCTTCCTGCCCTGGAAGCTCAGGCTGCCTGAGGCTATGTCATTGCCACTTCCTCCTGTCAGACCTCCAGAGCTGCCTGCCCCTCCTCCCCACACCCTGTCCCGGCCACAGACTCTGCTACTCGTTTAAAAATCCTGATGCCCAGGTTGCTCCCCAGACCAATGAGATCAGAATGTCTGGCAGGGGCGGTGGGGGGGGGGGGGGGGTGGTCCAGGCATCAGGGTTTTTTTTTTAAGATGTCTGGGTGATTCCATTTGTAGCAAAGTTTCGAAACCTCTGTTTTAGCCTTGATAAATGGCACCTCCACCTCCTGTTCCTTGGCCCCTAGGCTGCAGATATTCTTTCTCGGGATCTACTTTCTGGATGCCTGGGCCTGGGCCCCAGGACAGTTCTCAGCTGGGCAATCCCAACTCCTTCCTGCTCCTGCCCTTTGCCCAACAGGTCTCCGGTCTGCCGAGACTGCCTGTTCTGATCTGCCTCACCACTGCCAGGAACTCACTAAATATTTGTTGTTAATGATGTTGATAAATATTTGCTGTTAATGACCTCAGTCTGACCAAGAGGATCCTTGATGTAGAAGAAAGAAAAGGGCTTTTTTTTGGTGAGGAAGATTGGCCCTGAGCTAACATCTGTTGCCTATCTTCCTTTTTTTTCGTTCCTCTCCAAAGCCCCGGTACATAGTTCTGTATCCTAGTTGTAAGTCATTCCAGGTCTTCTATGTGGGACGCTGCCACAGCATGGCTTGATGAGTGATGCGTATGTCCGCGCCCAGGACCTGAACTGGGGAAGCCCAGGCTGCGGAAGCAGAGCACATGAACTTAACCTTTTGGCCGTGGGGCGGGCCCCAAGAAAAGGGCTTTGAGGTGAGGCAAACTTGGACTCTAGTACCAGCCAGTTCTGCTTTCTGTGTCTGGGTCTCAGTTTACTCAGCTGTGAAGGGAGGTGGAGCAGAGGGAAAAATGCCTACCTTGTAGTTTGTTATCAGGATCAAAGATACTATCTAATATTTGTACAGGGCCAGCAGCTTGTGACCGGTTCCTCTGGCAACAGGCTGCTCTTGCCCAGGTGGTGGGGAATGGCGACTGTTTCCATGGGGAGGAAGTAAAACCTCAGGAAGGAAGGTGGCTGTGAGCCTTCCGAAAAGGACCCTGCCCAAGGGGGCTTCCTCCCAGGGCAGGACAACTGCAGCAGAGAGGTGAAAGGAGGGTGCGGAAGTGGAGGGGTGGGGGTCATATGGGACTGGCTAGAGAGTGCCACCACCTTGCCTGGGAGTGCCACGTGCAGTCCCTGCTGGGGAGTTCTCTTGGGAACCCACAAAAGTGCCCCAAGAGGACAGAATCAGCATTTGGGTACCTGCTGTGCCCAGAGGCACCGATGCCCCGTTGCAACCACACCAGACAAAGAACACATTTGCTACCTCTATCTCATCCTCTGAGCTATCAGGAAGGAGAAACTTTAGACTGAAAAGGACACGAAAATTTTGATCGCAAACCAGACCATACTTTTTAAGAGACCTAGAAAGTGAGACTGTGCTTGTCCACCTGAGAGGGAAAAGCTACAGGAGCATCTCAAGCAGGAGCAAGAGTCTCCAGAGAAGTTAAAGGGGCTCTGGCTGGAAGGAGTCCTGGGGCCACCTGTGCCACGCCGAATCGGCTCGGTCCATGACTGGTTCCCCTGGGACTTGTCTTATGAAGCCAGTCTGGGCTAGACATTGATGGGACTGCTGCCAAACGCCAAACGCCAAACGCTGTGTGGCCTTAGCAGGCCCTTTATTTCTCTGAGCCTCAGTTTCTCTAGCTGTGAAATGCCTCTGTTTTCAAAGAGCCTTGCCTGACTGTGCCAGTCTGTAGAAAGATCTGAGATCTCTCAGTTCCAAGCAGGAAAATTAAATGTGTCCTGAGCCCAGAGTCTGAAGCAAACTCTGGAGGACCTCAGGAAGCCAGGCAGGCGAATCTGAAATCAAGCGGCAAGCTGAAAAATGATCTCCTCTGTATAGTGAGGAAATAAAAATGATATTAAATTTGCTGTTTAAAAGATGTTGACTGCAATGTTATTTTTAACAGTTTTATTGAGACATAATTTATATACCATAAAATTTACCTCTTTGAAGTGTGTAATTCAATGACTCAGTGAGTTTACAGAGTTGTGCAACCATCACCACAATCTAATTTTAGAATTAGATTCTGACTCGGATGATTCAATCATCCCAGAGAGATGTCTCAGGCCTATTCCCACCCCCAGCTCTGGCAACCACTAATCTGTTTTCTGTTCTTACAGATTTGCCTTTTCTGGACATTTCAGATCAATGCAATTGTGCAGCACGCGTGTCTTGCACCTGGCTTCTTTCCCTCAACACCATGTTTCTGAGGCTCTTCTATGTTGCAGCGTGTGTCAGTACCTTGTTCTTTTTTATGGCCAAACCATATGATATTGCATGGATACACGGTACCACATGTTGCTTACCTTTTCATCATTGGTAAGACGTTTGGGCTGTTTCACTTTTGGGGCTGTTATGGATAATGCTCCTTGGAACATTGTATATAAGTCTTGGGTGGACACACTTTTCAACTCTCTTGGGTAGATTCACAGGAGTGGAATTGCTGGGTGATACGAAAAGTCTATGTTTGATTCTTTGAGGAACTGCCAAATTGTTTTCCACAGTGGCTGCACCATTTTTACATTCCCAGAGGCAATGTATGAGCGTTCCAGTTACTTCACATCCCTGACACTTGTGATTTCTTTCCTTTTTTTCTTTTGGAAGATTGGCCCTGGGCTAACATCTGTTGCCAATCTTCCTCTTTTTTTTTTTCTCCTGAACGCCCCCCAGTACATAGCTGTATCTCCTAGTTGAAGGTCCTTCTAGCTCCTCTATGCGGGATGCCACCTCAGCATGGCTGGATGAGCGGTGCTAGGTCCGCACCTGGGATCTGAACCGGTAACCCCAGGCCACCAAAGCAGAGCGTGCGAACCTAACTGCTCCGCCATGGGGCCGGCCCCTATTTCTTTTCTTTTTAATTATAGCCATCCTAGTGGGTATAAAGTGGTAACTTACTGTGGTTTTGAGTTGCATTCCTACAATGACTAAGGATCCTGACCGTCTTCTCATGTGCTTGTTGGCCATTCATACATCCTCTTTGGTGAAATATCTATTCAAATTCATTGCCCATTTTAAAGTTTATTTATCTTTTTATTGAATTGTGAGAGTTCTTTACATATCCTAGATACAAGTCCTTTAGTAGATATGTGATATTTGCAAATGTTTTCTTTCAGTTTGACTTATCATTTTTTTTAGTTAATTTATCATAAATGTAAGCGTTTATTTCTGGGTAAATAAAGGGTTATAAGGGTTTATTTCTGGGTTAGTACAGAGTTCTCCTTTTTCAGTGTTCTCCTTTTTCAGAATCGTTTTGCCTATTTTGGGTCCTTTGCATTTTCTTATAAATTTTAGGGTCAGCTTGTCAATTTCTGCAAAAAACACCTCCTGGGAGTTTGTTAGGGATCGAATTGAATATATAGATCAATTTGGAGAGAACTGCTCCTTTAACATTCTGGAGTCTTCCAATCCACGAAGATAAACTCTCTCTCCATATATTTACACCTTTTAAAATTGCTTTCAGCAATATTTTGTAGACCTCCTTGTACAAGTCTTGCACTATTTTTATTCCTCAATATTTACTTCTCTTTGATGTGATTGTATGCAATGTTATTTTATTTATTTATTTTTTACTAGGGTATAATTGACATATAACGTTACCTTAGTTTCAGGTGTGCAACATAATAATTTGATATTTGCGTATATTGTAAAACGTTCACCATGACAAGTCTAGCTAACATTTGTCACCGTAAGTAGTTGAAATGGTTTTTTTTTGATGAGAACTTTTAAGATTTACTCTCTTAGTAACTTTCAAATATGCCATACAGTATTATTAACTATAGTCACCATGCCATACATTACAGCCCCAGGACTTATTTATGTTATAACTGGAAGTTTGTGCCTTTTGACTCCTTTCAGCCATTTTACCCACCCCCCACTCTTTCCCTCTGACAACCACAGTCTGTTCTCTGTATGCGTGAGCTCAGTCTTTTTGTTTTGTTTTTGTTTTTTGTTGTTTTTTTTTTTGAGGAAGATTAACCCTGAGCTAACACCTGCTGTCAATCCTCCTCTTTTTTTTTTTTTTTTTTGCTGAGGAAGACTGGCCCTGAGCTAACATCCATGCCCATCTCCCTCCACTTTATTTGAGGGCTGCCTACCACAGCATGACTTGCCAAGCGGTGCCATGTCTGCACCCGGGATCTGAACCAGTGAACCCCGGGCCACCAAAGTGGGACATGTGCACTTAACAGCTATGCCACCAGGCTGGCCCTGTTTTGTTTTGTTTTAAATTCCATATATAAGTGAAATCATACCATATTTATCTTTCTCTATCTGACTTATTTCACTTAGTATAATCCCCTCAAGTTCTATCCATTGTTGTTGCAAATGAAAAGATTTCGTTCTTTTTTTGTGGCTGAATAATATTCTACTGTATGTAAATACACCACATTTTCTTTGTCCATTCATCCATCAATAAACACTTAGGTTGTTTCCATGTGCAATGTTATTTTAATACTGAAAGAAAAAGAGAAAGAAAGAAAAATAAAAGTATCCTGAATACGCAGCATTTGAGAAATCATTGAGCAAATTATGGTCTGTTCTATTGATGGGACATTTTGGAACTATTAAAAGTGATTGTTATGTGTTTCCCCAGAAAGAGCACTCTGATCATGTTGGACCACAGAGAAGACTGAGGGAAGGGACAATACCTAATTCATCTCCCTTTTCCCAGGACCGAGCAGAGAGCCAGGCACAGACTAGATGCTCCGTGTGGTAGCCACTAGTGCTGGCCACCAAATATTTCTTTCTTCTCCTGTTGCACTTCCTTGCTCCTTCAAGTTAGTTGTGGCCAAGTGACTTGCTTTCATCAACAAAATGTGAATGGATGTGATATGCGTCACTCCTGAGCAGAAACTTTAAAAGTCAGTGAGCAACTTAACCATACTCTTAATCTTGGAGGAGGTGGCTGGCTGCACCATCACACTGGACCCTGCAGTGAGAATGACAAGGACATGCCACTCTATAGCCAATTGACATGTAGAGTGAGCAAGAACTACAGGCTGATTTAAGCTGCTTAGATATTGGCATCGTTTGTTACTGCAGCATAACCTAACTCATCCTGACTATTATGTGGATAAATGTTTGGTGAAAAAAATGAATGGAACTAAAGAGCAGAACATTAAATTCTCTGTCTTTTCTGATTAAAACTATGAAAAACAATGTCGGAATATGGGCTGTAAACTTAAGGAAATGAGGAAATTAAAGCCAGCTAGATTGTTAGAGGTGGGGATTATGGTGAATTCTTTGTCTTGTAAATGTGTCTTTTGGGTTCCTGGACCCAATTCCAACATGCGTGTTTCTAGGCCGGGGGAGACCTTCCACACCACATCAAGCAATTCTTAGACACCAGCAGGAAGTCTGAGAATTCAGCTCAATTCTGACACTATCTACCCAGAGATAGCATCAGATTCCACAGGTTAAACGCTCGGTCCCACAATACTGCCACCCCCTTCAGACACAGGTCATAAGCCCAGGTCATCTCCTGTATTTCTGACCAAGCAGCTATGATCGGAGGTTCAGTTAACTTGCTAGAACAGCTCACAGAACTTTTTGAAGGATATGATAAAGCATACAAACAGCCAGATGAAGAGATACGTAGGGCAATGTTGGGAGGGTCCCGAGCCCAGGAGCTGCTGTCCCTGTGGAGTTGGAGTGTGTCACCCTCCTGGTATGTGGGTGTGTTCATCCACCTGGAAGCTCTCCAGACCCCATGCTATTGGGATTTTCTGGAGGCCTCCTCATGTAGGCATGATCAATTATTAACTCCATTTCCAGCCTCACTTCTCTCTCTGGAGAAATGGAGGGGGAAGCGGGGGGTGCGTGGAGCTGAAAATTCCTAGCTTCTAATCATGGTTTGGTCTTTCTGGTGACCAGCCCACCCCGCCCCAGGAGTCATCAGGATCCCACTCAGAGTTGCCTCAATAGGACAAAAGATGCTCCTAGTACTCTTATCACTTAGGAAATTACAAGGGATTTAGGAACCCTGTGTCAGGAATGGGATCAAAGACAAATATCAGAACAAGAGACGCTCTTAGTGTTGTTATCACTTAAGAAATTGCAAAGATTTCAGGAGCTCTGTGCCAGAAGCAGTTAGAGACCAAATACATATTTCTTATAATAAATTGCAATATCACAGTGTGTTTTAATGGATATTCAGCCTCGCTCATAGTAGGAGACATTCGAAGTAAAAGAAAACTGAGATTCCATTTTCACCTAGCAGATTGGCAAAGATCAAAAGATTTGATACCACACGCAGTCGTGGAGGGAAATACTTTTACGCATTGCTTGAGAAGGTATGAATCAGCCCAACACGAAGAAGCACAATTTAGTAGTATCTATCAAAATCCCGTTTGACTCGACAATTCTATTTGTATGATTTCATCTTACAAATATTCTTACACTCAGGCAAAATGATGCAGGCAAAAGAAAGGTCATTCATTGCAGCATTGTTTATAAGCAAAAGACTGGAAACAATTTAAATGTCCACAAATAGGAGGTCAGTTAAGCAAATTATGATCCATACATACAGTGGAAACTATTCAGCCATAAATAGGCAGGAAGAGGCCTTTTATGTGCAGACAAGCAATGATCTCCAAGAACAGCTAAGTAGAAAAGGAAGGTATCGAACACCCACTGGTATGCTACGTTGTGTAAATAAACCGGGGCGTACACAAGCTTGTGGAGCCAGCATGTTGAGCAAGGCGGGACTTGTGGCTCTGTCGTACTAAAGAAAACAGCTTTGTCTCTTCCCCCCACTGCCTGTTACACCCTAAGTGGGCTTGGTCTTCTTGTCCCTTGGTTGAAACCGAGAGCGGGTCCCTTGACTTCACCAGACACTCTTAGATTTAAAAAAAAAGTTTCCAATCACTGGAACTCCAGAAATGGTTTCGGTGGGGCTGGCCCGGTGGCGCAGTGGTTAAGTGCGCATGTTCCGCTTCAGCAGCCCCGGGTTCGCTGGTTCAGATCCCAGGTGCGGATATGGCACTGCTTGGCAAGTCATGCTGGAGATGTCCCACATATAGAGTGGAGGAAGATGGGCAAGGATGTTAGCTCAGGGCCAGTCTTCCTCAGCAAAAAGAGGATTGACAGCAGATGTTAGCTCAGGGCTAATCTTCCTCACAAAAAAAAAAAAAGAAAAGAAAAGAAAAGAAAAGAAATGGTTTCACTAACTTGAGGGAGTAAGAGTCACAGCTTCAGAGACTTCCTCTCCCTTAGCCCAGGCCTGCTCCACCGTGAAGATGTCTTCTTTCCCTCTCTCTTCCCTCCCTCCTTCCTTCCCTCCATCCTTTTCTCCCCTCCCTTTCATGAATTCTGTTGAGCACCTGTGACGTGTCAGAACTCTTCCAGTCCTGGGCACACAGCAGTGACTAGACAGGACTGACGACCTCTGGGAGCTTACATTCTGGCAGGAAGAATCAGACAGCGTGTCAGGGGTGCTGAGGGCCCTGAAGGAAAACGAGGCTGGGAAGGGTAATTCGAGGGGCCTGGTAGGGTGTCGGGGTGGGTGAAGGTCAGGTACCAGTTTACATAGGTATCAGGGAAAGCCTCTCCGATAAGGTGACATTTAAACAGAGATCCGAAGGAAGGGGGGCGGCCAGACATTCAGCTGATCGGAGCCAGGCCCAGCGTGATGGCCGTGGGAGGTGTGCAGTCACACTGGGCCCTGTGCTCGGAAAGGTCCCACCCTTGGTTTAATGTTCTGCTGTCACTATCCTGAAATTCTTAATTTTTGAACAAAGGCCTGCATTTTCGTTTTGTATAGGGCCCCAGAAACTGTGCTGACGGTCCTCTCTGGGGCAAAGTGAGCTCCACACAGAAGGAGCATCAAGTGTAAAGGGCAAGAGGTCGGAACATGCTGGCAGCTTGGAGTCTGGACAGGGAAAAGAACACGTGGTCAGCTTCTTCTCTCTTTCTGCCCTTTGAGCCTCTGCCCCCCACCCCCCTCCACCCCCAGCCTGGAGGAAACGTTACAGGGTCAGGAAAGGTCTGACTTAAGCAACCTACTCTCTTGAGCTAGAGTTCATGCTTTCCAGGCTTGGCAGGGGCTTCAAGATAATTCTTTTTCTTGTGGGGGTGGGGAGTGCTTTCCTGGAAGTCTTGGTCTGCTTTCCGCCCAGATCAGAGCCTGAGACAGAGATAGGAGCAAGGAGTTTGTTTGGGAGGTGACCCCAGGAAGCAGAAGGGAGGGCGTGGGGAGAGTGAGACAAGGAAGGAGGCAGAGCAGGGAGGAGGAGGTGTCGGGCAGACGCTGCTGTAGGCGAGGGAGCCTGGCCTCCGGGAAGCCTGCCCCGCAGGCAGAGTGCCTCCCAGAGCCGGCTGCTTCTGGGCAGGAGCCTGTGGCTTTCTCCAACGGCTTCCACGCACCATTGGGTGAGGGCTGTTTCCAGTGTGTCGCCTACCTGTACTTCTTGCACCTAAGCTAGCGGGCTGTGCTACAGCTTCCGAGGGAGCTCAGAGGCCAGAAAGTGGAAGAGGCCTGGTGGGCACTCGGGATGGGGCTGGGGTCAGTGCTGGCCACCCCTACTGAGGCTGAAATCTGGGGTGGGCGAAGAAGGTGTGACTTGGCTCCCTCTTGCGTTTGCCACACTGGGGACAGTCACTGCGGGGCCTCCCATCGGCAGATCCTTTGCCGAGAGCAAAGCATCTCTATGAGCCAGTTGCTTAGGACGCCCATCCTAATCCTAGGACATCCCAGGACACCTCCAGCCTCTTCTGCTGAGGCCTCGTGGCCCCTTTAGGAGACCTTCCTGGGTTGAGTCCACTGCTGCTGACTCCGGCTGACTCTCCCCTGTGGCCCAATTCTGGCCTAGGGGCAGCATGCACCTGTGGCCTGCTCACCTGAGAAGGCAGCCAGCTCTTTGGGATTCTCAGGCAAGAGTCAGATACCAGGCCACGGAGTCCCAGGGGACACCTGCCACGCCTCTGACCGGGCTCCTTGAAGGCCCCTCACTAGGCTTGCAGAGAGGAAAGCTACCCCATCCCACCCAGCTCTCTCCAAAGCAAACCCTGTCTCCTCTCTAACTCCAGTCTCCGCAGTGCCCCCAGGAGAAAGCCCTCCCTTGGCGGGCTCTCCACATTCCAGCCTCTCCCTACCTTTCTAATGTTATCTGCTGCCAACGGGTCTCCTACACTCCGGCCCCAGAACATGATGGTTTATTCCCCAAACTTACCCCACCTCTCACACCTCTGCATCTTTGCACATGCTGTTCCCTCTGCCTGGAAAGTTCTTTCCCCTCCTCATGGCTTGGTGAATTCCTCATTCTGTAGGACTCACCCCACGTGGCCTTGAGGCAGGGAGCCTCTGTAGGAACTCAGTCCCTCCTGCACTGTGCCCCCGCTGAACCATGCACGGTCGAGATTGTGGTCTTGAGTGCAACAACCTGGGTTTGCACCCTGGCTTTGCTATGTGTATGAGCTAGGAATTGCTTCAATAATGCTGCGTAACAGGCTACCTCACAATTTGGGGGCTTACAGCAAGCCTTTATTTTTCTCACTTATTGGCATAGGGAGAGAGTAAAGAATTGAGATAAATAGTTGGTTATTTATTGCACAGTTACTAGATGCCAGGTGCGTGAGCATACATGTATTCTTTCATTTACTCCTCATGCCAACCCTGTATGGTGAGCATTTTTAACCAGTTTTAGAGTTGAGGAGATAAATAAATGTCCAGAGAGGTTACAGAACTTGCCCTGGGTAACACAGCTGGTGAGCAACAGAGCTAAGACGTGAACCCAGGCAGAATACAGCCACGTGCCGCACTGCTTTGCTGCCTCCAATGAATAGATGGTCTTGTTTTGGCGAAAGGACAAGAAGGGGTTCAGGACAGCTCAGGCACCACACACTGGTCCTTTCTCTTACTTTGGTCCACTGAAACCCTTCCTGATGGTCTCCCGGCTCACAGCCTGACCTCTGGAGCCTTTTGACTCCTTTCAGGGACTTGACTTAGGCCTTCCCAGGAATCCAGCCTCCCTGGAGACCCTGTGCTTCTAGAGCCGAGCCTGGCACCTGGGAGGGCAGCTGCATGATGCACAGGTTCCCAGATAGGTCTCCCTTCCAAGGTTCTGGACTCAAAGGAGTACAGGGCTCTGCGATCCTGGAGCAGTAGGGTCATCAGGCCTTACCCAGCTGGCCTGAGTTGGAGGAGGGCAGGGAAGGGAGGTGTCCTCAGCTGCCCCCTGGGGCTGCTCTCATGATGCCTG